CTGCAGCATCTTCCACATAAAACCTAGACAACCTCTTAACATCACCTGCAGCATCTTCCACATCCCCAAGAGCAGCATCTGCGTCTCCAGACATCCCCTCGTTTTCTTCTGCTAAAACAATCTCCCCACTAGGTTTCGTCCACGTTCCGTCGAGTACGCCTTCGACAATCCCTTCCTCTTGAAGCGAACTATATTCCGCAGAAACTGCACTCCCTGCATCGAGTACAGTGTCTACACTCTTCTGAATCAATTCCGGCACTTCGCGTTTGTTGCCGACACCGACAATGCTCTCCAATTCGAAAAGCTCTCCCTCTCCGTGCTTGTCCACCTTACAGAGCACCCGTGGACAGCCGTAGACGAAAAGGTCACTATCCTCGGATATAACGGCATGGAGATAGCCAATACGACATAAGTAAGCCAACTGCGCATCGGATTCATATGGTGCAACCATAAACTCGATGTTTAACTCTGGAGGATGAAAAGGGTCGTGAAAAGTTTTTGTATCTACTTCTTGAGTGGGAGGTTGCTGAGGGATGTTGAAGATCATACTGCTATGGAGAGAAGGCTGATTTTACCTTGTGGTCATCGGTTTACAACAGTCAGTACTGGTTCCCCCAGTATTGCAAAGGTAGGGCTAATCTTCATTATTCAAAATATCAAACATTAAATCTCTTTTTTCATCTCACAAGAACTACTTGCATGATTTAAATCATATCTCAATGCCGCTAAAATCCGCTCGATCATCTCCACGGAAATTTTGATCGCTTTAGTGGCATTTTTTTGGACATTGATGTCGAGAGCTGCTCTGCCGTCTCCTAGTTTCCTTGAGGCGTCTAGTACTTTATCTCTAGCTTCCTCTCGTTCTTGCCGACGCTTTGACGCCTCTTCTTGCTTTGCTGGAAGATCTTGCCCATCGAAGATAATGATGGGGATGATCTGTGTGGTAGAATTTCATCTGCGAGCCTCACTATTTGGTGGACAGTGGCGGACCAACGGACAAATCGAGGAAAGTATGAAGGTACTTAAGAGGGAACTATAGATCTCGTCTATTCCTCGAGAAAATGCCCGACACAAAACTATGCAAGCTTACCGAGAAGCAAAAACTTCCAGAAAATTGTACGTTATTCCACCGCGTCTCACAGACCATGTCAACATAGAGATACTATCTAACAACTAATAGTATCGTGGTAGTACCCCATTCCACAGCAGCATGAACACCATGTCCATGAAGAAGCGGACGAACTTATCCGTCTCCTTTCCAAGTAGTAGTTCGTAGGCACAAGCGACGGCCCCTCGATGCATCCAGCACATTGCATCGACTCCCACTCGCTTACCGGACCAGGAACGGTCGATTTGGTACCGCGTCTGCGCCATAGGACGCAATAGCTTGTGCAACTGTTTGATACCCATTTTGATTGAGTGTTCTACTTGTAGTTTTTGGACGATACTACTTATGCTGGTTATTACAAGTGGGTGAATAAGATTCTGCCAAGGCCAATGCGTAGAGGAAGTCGTGCAAGATGTTGGCTACTTATTAATATATGTTGCAGAGCGTCAACACACGGAGTTGTGCATGGGTAGCGGTTACAGAGTGCCTCGCAGACCGTTCTTGCCAAAGTTGACTCCCACTTTTTGGTATAGTATAGCGTTTTACAGGAAGCGTTGTGATATCTTCATAGGTAAAAATAGCTTCCAAGAGTACAAGAACGTGCCTTTTTTAGTGTTCTTGTAACTCACAGCGACATTTCGATGGTGTCGGTGGGACTACAGCTAGAGCGAACAAAGAAACAACTTCAGGCATTTGAACACGATGATTCGACATAAGTGCTTGAAGTAGTAGATGGTTCGTGCATCGTTATGGGAAAAAGCTATAAGTGAAAGTATTGAGGACACAGAGATCTGCAGTGACAAGACAGAGACCGATCATACAATACGCTCTTGATATTGGATCGTGACCGAGTTCATGCTGATGATTCATCTTGATGAGTGCAGGATGATTGAAACATATCGTTTACGATCCTCGACTAGGACAATGCCGAGGGGGTTCGACCGCGGTCTCGCAAAGTCTTCTGTTGAGATCGATGCGTGAAGCTAGCACCACCTCTTGCATCATGTACTAAATGCGGTTCGTTGCCTGTATTCTGAATGAAAGTCAAAGGTACAGCACATCAACATCATCTGAGTGATGAAAATCCTAAATATCAAGATTTTCTAGTAGTTCCGAAGTTTGTTCTTGTAATCGTAGCGAGCTCCTTCAATATGCCTTTACTGACTAGGTTGAAAATCACTCAACTCATAGGTCCATAATCATCCAAAATCACTCCCTTCATCGCTACTTCATTCTCCCAACACAGTATCCTGGACCGGGTGCCGTTGGGTTATGGACCACCTGCTCACCTCTGACGCGGTCAGCACGAACTCCATAGGGAAAATGAGGACTTTGGATTAGAAGGTGATGAATCTTGCCAAGAGCCAAGGCCAACAGTAAAACAAAGCTTTTTCTAATTATTTAATATGGTCATAAAAGTTGTTGCACTGTCGCTTTCGGCTTCCCGTGGTCTTCGGGTACTGGTTCCAAAGGGTGCCTCGTGTGTCGCACGAGTGTTGAGGCGCGGCGACCAGTGAAAGTTCGTGTCGCGTCCATAAACATCATTGGCATGTTCTTCTTTTTGTAGAGTTTCTGTCTAATGAGCCATTTCATCTTGTCTCCATCTACTGCCATCGGTGATACCATTTTACTTGGGTCTCGAAACTCAGGTACTGCGAAACGAACCATACGTAAGCCAAGTTCCTCACACACATGCTTGTACAAGAGAAAATCGGTCGAGAAATGAAGGGGGATGGTTTAATTCGGGCTCGGCGTAGACGTACTTAAACAAATGCTTCCACTAGTATTTGATGTGGTACTTGAAATGGTAGGAGTGCTGTACTAGAAATAGTAGTCGTAGTACACACTACTTGCTTACCATGGAAGAATTGGTGAACCATCAGGGACATTTAGATGAAATAGAAACAGGTACAAGGGACATTTAGATGAAATAGAAACAGGTCCTTAATTGTACAAATTTCGCATCACCCGCATACGCTTCGACAATAGCATCGACATGACACGACGGCCAGGTATGTCCTTTACGGTCTTAATCAGATGAGCACGTAGGTTCAGAAAATTAGACGAAGGGCTACTTGACTGCACCGGGTCCGGGAAAAAACCTCTCGTGCATGAATAATCTCCACTATATAAGTAGTTTCGATTCATTCACTCATTCCTTCTGTGCAGCTCGCAAAAAGATCTGCGTCGACTCCACAGTGTGGGCCTTGTTAACTCGAAGTTTTATCAACACAACAGAAAAGCCAGTGACAAACTGAGGAGCGAAGATAAATATGAGACAAAAGTCAAACAAGTGGAGGAGGAGGCGAAGAATTCTAGTTCTTTTTTTACAGGCTTAAAAATTTTCTCCGTGAGACATGCGATACGGACAGCTGGGCTGTTGGTGTCGAATGGTGAGACTTGAAACTTCTTGATCAACAACCTCTTTCGATATTGATGCACTTCTCTGCCGTTCGCGCAGTCCAGTTTCAGTAGGTTCTTCACGGCTTGCGGTAACGGTGTCACGTCGTCTTCGGTCAGTTCTTTGATGGGAGGTTAGAGAGGTAGATGTTGTGGCGAGCAGGAAAGTGAAGTAGGTGACGTACATCTTGTGTTATGAACTAATCAATCTCCTGAGTTAGTCGAATGGTGAAGGTGTAGAAATTCTGTTTCAGAAAACACCAGAAGCTCCAATCTCACTGATGCGTGTAAGTAGACAGAGTAAAACAAAAGGATGAACGCAGCAAACATGTTGTTTGCATGACTGCTACAAATTCAAGCATAGTTTTCTCAGGAGATCTGAATATTATGTTAAGCTCAGACATCGCAGCAGGCTATCACCATAATATGGTATATCACTCGCATTCCTTCCATCCTGGTCCTGTCCTGTCTCTACTATAGACGACCCGCGTCTTCCAGGTACTCGAGCTCTCGAAGCGAGGAATTCCTTTTCGCGAGCTATTTGCCAGTCTGAGCGTGGTGGCTTGCATCTGACAGGTCTTATTCCACTGTAGCGAAAAAGGCGATGGGTTCGGTACCCTTGACTGTGTGGATACCTCTTGTGCACATTTTGCGAAAGAGGGTGCTGCGGTGA